GGGAGGATTTGTTTTGTTATGGATAAAAAGGAACCTCCGAACCCTAACAGCCAAAAACCCTAATCTGAGAGCAGCCTCTAAACCCTAAGGTTCAAACCTCTTCACCTCCTTCCAAAAGCCCTTCACTCAGCCCTAATCGAGTGAACAAAACCTTCATCCCGTTTCACTAACAGAAAACCCAACAAACCCAACATCTTCTACCTCCCACCATTCAAACAAGTTCCTCCATTAACAAAGCTCTCAACCGAAACAACCATAAACAAACAATAGAAACACAAAACTCAGATTTCCATTAACAGAAACTCCCATCCAAAACGCCTAAACCATTAACTCACCTTGCAAAACCAACAAACTCCGACATATGAACTTCAGATCACCCAAATCTCCAACTTCAGAACTAAGCTCAACACCCATTTCCACACGGCTTACCTCATTCTCCGACCGAAACCCCCTTTCCAACTTCAAACCATAACAAGAGCAACTCCCTCAAATCTCCAAATTCGCAACCACAAAACCTCATTTTTGAACAAAATCGGAAGTGAAAGATGCAATAGAGCGAGATCAGATAGAGTTCAAGATGGACAAGTAGAAGCAAGAAGGGAGTGAGTGGAGATATTAGAAATAGAGTTTGAGACGAGAACGAACTGAAGGTCGCGCTGCTTTTTTTTGTGTTTCCGTCGCTCCGTTTCTCATCCGGTTTAGACCGCCATGTTTGTTCTGCTGTGAGAATGTTGTTGTTAACGTTAAAACAAAACCCTTTTCACTGTTGGCTTTCTTTTCTTTTCATTATTTGGACCGTCTTGTGTGTTTTGAAGCCCAGGTTCATGGTTGAGTTTGTCTCACCCCCCTGTTTTTGTTTCTTCGGCAGGCATTGTTGGATGTGGATGACGGGCTGGGCCCAAAGGATTCCACATCCTTTTTTTTTTTAGACTATTATTATATTTTATATTTTTATATAACTTTGTAAATATTTTATTTATTGTTATTTCTTTTAAGTTTTTATTTTTTAGAACTTTTTGTATATATATTATATTTAGGAGTTTTCATACTATTTCTTTTAGAGTGTATGTATACTATTTTATATTTTGTTTTATTTAGAAGTTGAGTATCAATTTATATTTCTAGTTTAAAATATCAGGCTTATAGTTTTTGCATTATAGTTAGATTTAATTTCTCTTTTGTTATTGGCCATTTTTTTGCCTTTTAGGTCGATGACGAGACCTCCGTAATTCATTACCAGTCAAATTATTGATAAGTAATGTTGGATCTGAGACCACCTCTTTTCTCTCTTCGTCACCTGTCCCGACTCGATTCAAAAACATTGTCAAACAATCTTCAAGATCAAATTATCTTTGTATTGAATTGAAAAGAGGGGATTAAGTGTAGACTTTCTTCCTCTCCGAGTGTTGGAATGCCCACTGTAGTGAGGGTGGTTTCGACACTCGTCTTTCAATACAAAGACGCTTCCCATCCTTTTTCAAATCTCATCTCCTTAAAATCAACTCTTTGTATTGAATTAAAAAGAGAGGATTGGGTGTAGACCTCTTCTTCTTCGAGCGATGGAATACCCACTGTAGTGAGGGTGTTTTCGACGCTCGTCTTTCAATACGAAGACGTTTCCATACCATCCCTCCTAAAACCTCGGTCTCGTACCGAGTCCATTTTCAAACCATCTTTAAAATAAATTTCTCTTTGTATTGAACTAAAAATAGAGGATTGGGTGTAGACCTCTTCTTCTTCGAGTGTTGGGATGCCCACAGTAGTGAGGGTGGTCTCGATACTCGTCTTTCAATAAGAAGACGCGACTTTATCCACCTATCTCCTTCCACACCTTCTCACAATTTCTCTCACATTTCTCTCACACCTAAAACCTCGGTCCTGTACCGAGTGCATTTTCAAATTCCTTTTCATACAAAAACTTGAATGGTCGTGGAGTGGTTAGACGTAGGCCTTCTCCTATCCCGAGTACTGACGTTTACCGTAGGGTTCCCTGTCACAAAGTACTTACCATTCAAAACCAAAAATATCTTTAATAAGAGAACGAAGTTCTCTTTGCATTGAATTAAAGAGAGAGGATTGGGTGTAGACCTCTTCTTCTCCGAGCGTAGGGATGCCCACTGTAGTGAGGGTGGTTTCGACGTTCGTCTTTCAATACGAAGACGCCTCGTTCGCCACGCCCTTTTATAACAAAAACTTTGAGATAACGAATTGGGTACTACCCGTAGGGGTTACTATCCGAGGACCTGTCTCGCCCCCCTAAAAAACAATCCAATCAATCAAATGTGACTTCTTGCCCCGCGTGGCGAAAACTAATCAATCTTTCAAAAGGATATGTTACGTCCGTTCTACCGCAAACAGGTAATGCCTAAGTCTCCAACGAGCGAGCAGCAAAACACCTAACTGCTAGAATGCGCACGATAGCATCATCCATAAAAAACATCAACACACCGTAGGCCGAACTACGGCTGCTCTGATTCTTTACTTTCTCAAGTAAAGATACGTAGGCACAAGGGCCACAATCCTTGCCGAGCACATTCCCCCCAATATCTGTAGTTCCCCGAACTACGTCGACTCTGACTTTCTCACATCTATTGAGAATACGTAGGCATAGGACTGCGAAGTCCTACCGAGTCTTGTTCTTTCTATTTTCTTCCCCGTTCTCTCTTTCCTCCTAACTTTCCTGTTTCTAATCCTCCTTTTACCCAGTGGAACACTTATTATAGCATAATATTTAAGCAAATATATTCACATCGACAAACAAAAGGTTCCCATCGAGTACGATGGATGCGAGGGGTGCTAATACCTTCCCCTCGCATAACCGGCTTCCGAACCCGTTCTTGGTCGCGAGACCATCTTATCCATTTCTTTCCTAAGGTTTTCTCGATATTTTCCTTTCCCCTCATGGGATAAATAAAGTTCGGTGGCGACTCTTCTGTCTATCTTCTTCGCCTCTCCGTCGTTGCGCGATGCATTTTTCAAGTAGCGACAATCACTACCTTATCCTTGATGAGAAAATTGTTACCAGAATCAAGCATTGGAGTGCAAAAGTTTTGAGTTTTGCAGAAAATTTTCATTTAATCAGAAGTGTCTTATTTGCCATTGCTAGTTTCTGGATGGAATGCTTGCCCATTCCGAAGCAAGTGATAAAGAAAGTTGAAGACATTTGCAAGTGTTTCTTATGGTCTAGCTCAGAGATTATCTCTAGGAAATCACCTATTTCTTGGAGAAAAATTTTCAGGCCTAAGAATCCATGAGGTCTTAACATTATCTCTCTACAGAAGTGGAATAAAGCTAGTCTTTGTAAGTTGCCCTGGAATCTGAATGGGAAATCTAGTAGTCTTTGGATTCGATGGATACATTGTTATTATATGAAAGGAGAAAACCCAATGAATGCTCCAATCAGACAGTCCTGTTCTTGGATTGTTAAAGTTATCCTCAAGTTGAGAAATGATGTTAACCAGTCACAGATTTGGAACTTGATGCGGTAGCAACCGAAGTATCAAACCAAGAACATTTACAATACTTTCATAGAGGAGCATCCGAAGGTTAATTGGAAGAAATTAATGTTTGATAATGGAGATACACCAAGAGCTAAACAAGCTCTTTGAATGGCTCTTCATGAGAGAATAACAACCAAAGATATGATGAGTCGCTTTGGTATGGTTGATGACACTACTTGTTGCTTCTGCAGGGAAACTAAATCCATCCACCACTTGTTGTTTTCCTGCATAAAAATGAAAGAGATTTGGGGCCATGTGCTCAGTTGGCTTAAGATTAATCATGAACCGAAAGGGTGACAAGAAGAGTTGAATTGGATTATTAATAGTTGCAAGGGCAAAGGTTGGAAGAAAGCCCTCCTCAAAAGTGCTTTCACTGAGACTGTTTATGAATCTCGGATGTATAGAAACAACTATTGCTTTGGAAACAAGCTGAACAATAGTAGTATTGGTCCCAAGATTATTGATAATATAGTTTACCGTGGTTGGAAGAACCCCAAACTTAGACCTCACATAGGTACCTTGCTTATGCCTTGAGTGAACTTGTTTCTTTTTGGTCTCTTTGTTCCTTAGGTTGGGCTGGATCCTCGAATCGTCATGCTTTGTAATATTTTTGAATTCTGTTAATAAAGTATTTTATTAATTAAAAAAATAATTGGATTATTCCATGTCATCAAATCTTGGGACACAATCATCTTTTAACCAAAACTGTTTAAAAATAAAATAGAGGGATTGATTTTGTGAATCGGCTAAAATAGATGGACTAAAATTGTAACTTAGCATTTTTAATATGAATTTCATTATTTGAATTAAATATTTACATTATTTTCAAAATAAATCTCATTATTATTTTTAAATTAAAGTCACATTATATTTATTAAATCTTTTATTTATAAAATTTTATTTTTTTACCCTATTTTCTATTTTTATTTATTTATATTTTATATTAATATATGATATAATTATAATTACTTTTTTTAGTTTTTGTTAATATACGAGGATGAACAATATTTGAAAATTGAAACTTTATTTAAAACTAATATTTAATTTATGGGTTTAAAGACAGTCCATTGTCATTACATTTTTTTTTTCTCTTAATTTACTTGTATCAATAAATTCTTAGATATTTATGTCAAAAAATTTATTGTATAAATATATTTAACTGGCTTGATGTCGGGTTCGGGTTTTAAAATATTGCTTCACCTAGTTAAACACTAAAAACTAATAAATGTATCCTAGCTTTGTATGATTTAATATTTTTCTAGTTGAAGCATTTTAAGTGGTTAAGAATTTATCAAATAAATCACATTAATTTCCCCTAATTATAGATTATCTATAATAATTACCAAGAGGAAGCAAATAACACTTTATTAAATTTAACAAAATGAAAAAACTGAAAACAATGGAAGAAGAAAGAAAACACTGATAACCAAATCGAATGTTCACTCCAACACAAACACACTCTCGGAACCAACCCACCGCCCTTAACCACCGTCCACTGCCATGTTAGAACGAACGCTCTCCTCCCGCCGCGGCAACTCCCACGGCGAAGGCGACGAAGACATTTTCAACGACGACGAATCCAAGACGAAGAAGCAACAATACATCCTCTTTCGCTTTACCAACAGATTTTCAACCTACCTTTCCCGAACTGGTAGCCAGTGCGTGCCGTGTGTCGTTATTGCATTGATTCTTTTCTTGAGTTTCTCGTTCTTCTTCACCTCTCGCAACTTCGTCTGCATCTCGTCTTCATCTTTCTTCAAACCCGCTGCTCGCGCTGCTTTCTTTGGTCTCGATGGTCTCGACTCCGATTTCGGAGTGCTCGGCGTGCCCTGCTGTAAGTCTCTTTGCGCTGATCTGATCTCTTTCATGCTTAATTTGTATTTTCGTGGATCGTAATTTGGTTTGTTTTTTAGGTTTTGTTTGGATCCAGAGAAAAAAAAACACAAAATTGTAGCTTTAGGAGTTTCTTGTATATGGAAGATCAAATTAAAATGCTACTCGGTTGGAATGTTAAATATTTTTTTCAATGTTCAACTTATTTATTTTCTGGATCCTGATCCCATTAATGCAATCAAATTTCCTTCTCTTTTTGCATAATTTTGATTTTGAAATGCTATTCTTGGTTTGGCTTTATTCCATGTTCATTTGAATGCTCATAAATAGCTTTAGAAATTTTTATGTACCTAAGTTAAAGAGGATATAGCCATCGGTGTGAAATTAGTTACACTGACGACCAATCAATCAACGATGTGTATTCTGCAAAATCATCCATATATTTTAAAATTACTTTGATGACATGGCAGACCGATGGTTTTAGTGCATGTCTATTAAAATCTTTGGGTTTATTATTGTTAGATAACAGAAATTATCAAGTGTTTTGTGGCCAAAATAGTATTTATCGAACACTTTTGGGTACATTTATTGTCGGATCACACTTTTGAGTAGAGTAAAATGTTGATTTTAGCGGCATTTATATTCCTTAGTATTTATGTTCCTTTCAAATAGAGGAGTTTAAAGTTGCACCACTTGCTTCACTGCGCATAATTTGTGAGAATGATTCAATAAGTGGTGGATTAACAATTTCATTTTCTGTTGTTTCAAGCTCTTGGTTTGTGATTTTGAAATGATAAGTCATACTGTTTGTTGTTGTTGGATACTTATAATCTTATCCTTGGTAAAGGCAGATCGAAACATGGTAAAACTGTAGAATGGACATCAAAAGACCTGCTTAAGGGGCTGGAAGAGTTTGTTCCTATATATGAGACACGGCCAATCAAAAACAACATGTATGGGATGGGTTTAGACCACAGCTTTGGACTTTGGTTTATTGCCCGGTGGCTGAAACCAGATTTGATGATCGAGAGTGGTGCTTTTAAAGGACATTCAACTTGGGTTTTGCGGCAAGCTATGCCTGACACGCATATTATTTCTATTACACCCAGGCATCCAGAAAAGTATCTAAAAAAGGGACCAGCTTATGTTGATGGTAACTGTACATATTTTGCTGGAAAGGACTTTGTGGATTTTGGGAGTATTGATTGGCCAACAGTGATGAGCAAACAAGGGATTACAGACCTTAGTCGGGTTCTTATATTTTTTGACGACCACCAAAATGAATTGAAAAGGTGAATTACTAGATCTTTCAGATGCATGATTCAGTAGTTGAGTACTTATGATGAAATTGCTACTGCTTATCATAATTATTTTGTATGTCTCATAATGAGCAGAATCGAACAAGCTCTGAAAGCTGGGTTCCGACATCTTGTTTTTGAGGATAACTATGACACTGGTACTGGTGATCATTACTCACTGAGGCAGATATGTGATCAATTTTATATACGAGGTGTGTAAACTCTCACTATGCTATTGAATTATGATTTTTGATTGAATTTTTTTTCTGTTACCGACTTACCATGGGAAATGCATACAAATAATATGCATAAATAGCAATGACGAGAAATGAATGAAAATCCAACATATGAAGCCAAAAAATTGATGAAAAACATTATAATGCTATATAGTAACTTGAAAGGTTCAAATCCTATAAATGGCAGCAAAAATACTATTTGGTTACCAGGAAAAATGCTATATAGTCCCACTATGTTCAATGCTCCCTAGTTGAAAGTCCAACAAAACATAGTATAGGACCGTACAATCCCACGAGCTAGTACTCGATCTTGACTATATTGCCCAAACCATGATTGGACTTATAAAAAGCCCATGATGCAAAACCAACATTTTAAAACTGAAATGTCCTCTTCTCATTAGAACGTATGCCACTTGTTCTTACTGCTGCAACCCACCACTACTCTGTTGCATCTTGGTATCTTTTTCTTCTTTTGTTATATTTAATGGTAAGTTATACTATATATAGATATTAAATACTAATTACGTTGTATATTAAATTATTTATTTTAAGTAGTTTTATATCATTCATATAAATAAGTTTATTTTCTATTTCAGTTATTTAAACATTTTTCCACACCGGTTAGACTCACGAAATACTCTGCCCATAGTTTTGGGCTTATAAAAGCTCTTTATGTGAAACTAGCGTCCAGACGGGCACGCGTCTGTCCGCTTTTTTAATACGCTCGAATGAAAATATAAATGATACTTTTTGTTTAAATAAATTTTTTAAAAAATAAAATATGTGAAAGTTAATAATAATAAGTTACGGGGAAATTAATAATATGAAGTTATTAAGGAAATTACACAATAAAGTAAGGGTAAAAATGGTAGAAAAATAGGTCACACCAAAACAAAGTATAGATGCAAACCCTAAAACTAAAATTTCCCCTTCTCAATAAAACATATGCAGCCTCTTCTCTTTTACTGCCGCCGTCCGCCGTCGCACTGCTGTATCACTGCATCCTTCTCGTACTCTTCCTCCTTTGTTTCTTGCTTCTTCTTTTCATGTGAATATCTCAGCCAAAAACACTAGATTGTGGCCGATAAGTTTCAGAAGATTATTGGGGGTAAAAGTGGCGGTTGCATTGAATCAGTCATGAACAAATCAAAGGGTAGTAGCCTTCATAGTTGCTCTATTTGCTGTTATTACACACTTTAACAAATTTTACTTCAATTTCTACCTGTATTTCCTACAAAGGGACTTTAGTTGAGGAAAACAATTAAATAGCTTCATTCAGTGGCACAATAAGTACCTAGACTATGGCAGACAATCAGATTGAAGATGATTGTCCCCTAACCTCCGAAACTTATTTTTCCAGAGAAGGTGATTGTGTGATTGTATCAATTGCCAATTCAAGTCCTTTTGCTAAGTTCATAACAACAAATGCAGGAGTTGAAGACTATTATCATTTGACTTTGTTCGTTACGGATTGTGGGTTGAAGCTACTGCAACTATGTTTGCTATATATCCATGGGCTTCTCCCAAATTGTCAATGTTTTTGAATATAAACTTGGGAGAGTGTGTTAAAAGTGGGTGGTGGCTTTGAGAATTTGGTCACAACCCTTAGACTAGTAAACAGTTGCTTGCTGGTGACTAAATCTGTCTTTGCTACCATTTCCCAGGGTATGACATTTCAAGTTGCTATAGGCTTATGTTTTGTTCCACTGCAAAATAATAGCAGTGCATTTCATTAATTTGCTGGTTTTGTATTTTCATACATTTTCGATCATTATATTCATACATATTACTTATGTAGTGAAATATGCATAAACAGATGTATATGGAACTGCACATATGAATTCTGCTGTAGCCAATGTCAAAAGGGATTTACTTATTACTAGAAATTTTCTCAATTGGGGTTTTGGTTGTTAAAATATAAGCGATGTTGGAACAAACTCCAGCATCCATTTGTTGAAAAATGTTTGTATGATTCGTTGATAATCTTCATACTGGTGGAGTATTATTCTAATAACATTGGAAAAGAAATTTGACTTTTGTTTGTTCTTTTGTTGATCTAAGGTGGGGGACACAGTTGCTTTAAAGACAGTGACGAAGCTAGGATCAGGTCAAAAAGGAAGAAATTCTGGGAGAAAGCAGTTGATATCGACGAACTATGTGGACCAGGGGAAGCATGGTGGGGAGTTAGAGGGTACATGCGCGACAACTTCAATCACAGTAATAAGCCAATATCTTACGCACAACACGTCCAGAATAGCCGGTATGTTGAATCTATTCTTGATGTGTACTGGGAACTCCCACCGGTTGCTGGTCCTTCCCTAACTCATCAAACCAGATATGATCCCGCGCGTGCTCCCATTCCTATTGTGGAAGATGGGCGATATGGTTTGTTCCAGCGGCTTGGTTTGGGTAAACTTGACAACTCTGTATTTAATGGATACACTCAGATGGTTTATTTACAGATATCTGAACAATAATTTACAGTTGCTTAGACAAGAGTATAATGTAGTTGAAGGAATTTCTGTATCTGTATTATTTGCAAATATTTGCTTCAGCCTGATTTGGCTTAAGATATAGTTCTTTTACTTTTCTTGCCATTTTCCTTTTTCAAATTCTTTCTAATTCTTTACTCATTCTTCAATTCTATCTAATTTTTGTTTAGTTGATTTTAATGTTTGGTGGCAATTTACTTACATGATTGCCAATATTTTGTTTTATGCGTCATTCTATTATTCTATTACTGTATCTTTTTTGTCAATTAAATCAGTGGCTGAAATTTATCCCTTAAAGATGAACGGAATGCGGGTTCAAACCTGCAGGTTCAAACCGTCCCCTACATCTGAGTCTCTGCACAGCCACCAATTTAGCCGAGTTTGGTCTGACAATACTCATGAAATAAAATTAGATATGAAGAACTTTATTATCCATTGGTATTGTTACACTCTTCAAGAAAAACTCATTAAAGTTGGATCATTTTTTTTCTAGTTATTATCAGATTCAATGAATGTGACATAAATAGAGACATCAATAATTCTGACCTTTGTGGTAGAAATAATGTTTATTTTTGTTTCAAGCTTGATCATTATGTAGCCTAGCATAATTTTGAGTCAAGTCAGGTGTCCTAGTGTGCAAAAATAATGACAGAATTGACATATCATTCACATCATAACTGTTGCATATTTCCTTTCTATATTGGTGGCTATAAACATTAGTACAATCTAAAGAAATAGTAATATCTTAATATTAAAATCCAAAATTGTTCAGATTATGTATATCAAGAACAAATACATAAGAAAAACTAATGAGTAGTTGCAGATAAAAATGCACACAAGCAATTTTTTTATACATCAACAAGAGTTCAAAGGTACACAACAGATATGCAAACAAAACATGTGTATAGATATTTCTGGATATGTCTCAGTTAAATTCTAGTACTAACTGAAGACTTGTCAGACTCAGACTATTAATTCACAAAAACTGAGACACTGAATTACATATATATTTTTGATTTGGAACATAACCATATAAACTCATATTTCTTGTAAAACTTCATATATGCATATATCAGTGAAAACTTCACTTTGGTTTTCTGCATTACTTTTGGCTCCTAGATTTTTCCATGGCTCTTGGAGCTGCAAACAAGATAAATTGATAACATAACATATCTTTCAACAATGATCCATATTAAAGATTAGGATGAAACAGAATAAAACATACCTAGCCCAATTGCCTCAGAGCCTTTCATGATCCTTAGTCTCCGACACGAGTCGGCGAACATCCTGCATCAACAAACAGTTTAAGTAAAATTTTTCAACCACAGGACTATCATATGATTTAACATGATCTTCTATGATTTTTGATCAAATGAAATAACTTATTACCGCCAAGGAACATCGCCGACAAGCATCCAATCACCATCTTTATCTTCATATGTAAGAACATATTCAGATCCATGTAGAAGATCCCTCAGAGAGCTTTCACTTAGTCCATCTTTCCCAGGAAATCCAGGAGAATTGCATTGACCTAGTATTAGGAACATGAGTATACTATACATAAGCACTTATTAGTGCTATAAACACTTAATTAAACTGTTTCTAGGAAACTTATTGAACAAGAACATGTAACTAACAGGTATATATATTAAGGTAGAGTTAGTACCAATGGTAAAGCATGTGAACATGTTCTCAAGAGCTGAAGAAAGATCCTTATAGTTGTTGTAGATTTTGAGATCAATCTTTCTGAGATAAGGTGCACCATCCATACTCACTTTTACATAGAAACAACCAAATCCTGATTTTCTTTCATCTTCATCATTGTTCTTTGTCGAATTCGACGCCATCGAGTTCTTTCGAAAAGATCGAATTGGTGGCCATCCTACAACCTGTGTTCTGTTCCAAATATTTCAGATAATGAATAACACATAACATGTTCAATATTTTCATTAAGCAAAATGATGTAAAAAAAAAACATACTTTGAAGTATTTGTTCCAGAAACATGTTTATTCTTTTCATGTACTGGTTGGTGAAGAACCTCTTTGATGTTTTTTGGTGAAGACTCATCAATAGCATAAGAGAAACCTCTTTTAGCTCCAACACTAGATACAAGGTTGTTCAAAGAAGGACAAACATTAATGTTTTTGTTGAAGTTATGAGAAACTTCTCCAACTGATTTTCTGTGAGGAGATTGAGAACCAGGTAGGCCTAGTCTGAGTTCTGTCTCCTTGAAGTTGAGAGATGAAGTGTCATCATGATGTTGTAATGGTGTAGACATGAAGATATTGAAGACACAGGTTTGAATTGTTGTTATGATAGAAGAAAGTGAGAGAAGAGAGAATGAAAGTGTCGAAGTGAAGTTATGGTAAGATATTGAGAGGAGCTGGATCGTTTTGTTGATGCACAAAAGAACCTTCTTTGGTCTTTTTGTACCAAATTTATTCTTTCCATACAAGTCTATTTGTTTATTTTGACTTTATATGTATAGGACTAGCACATCAGTAAGAAATTTTTTTGGTGATTATGGATTAATTACGGTTTAACAATGATAAAATAAATAGAGATTTTATTTAATTATAATTTAATCTGACAGATATTTTTGAAGTCTCATTTCATTAATTTTTTTAAAATTTTGAATTTTGTGCAATAAATCGTCTCGTTCATAAAAAATAGTAAATGGTGATATGTAATACGCTTATGTTGCGGGACTTATTTTTTCTCTAACTAATATATTATAGAGATTAATAAAAGAGTTTAATGAATATGCTACTTTAATATAAAGTGATTTACAACTCTTTAATTTGTTACATCATGTTTGACAACTTTTAAAAAAACTAGTTATGTATTCATTTGATATTTTGATGTTTGTTGGTAGATTATGATTAATTATTTTAAAGTACATTAACAAAGTAGGTATATATGTCAATAACCTTTTTAAATATAAAATAATTAATAGAGGATTGATATATTTATTTACACCAAAAGTCTCACACCATATCTTTACACCATATAAAATACAACATATCCCATGTGTTAGAATAAAAAAGAAAATAATAATTAAGCATTTTAAAAAAAGCAAAATCATACAATAATACAGTATAGGTATTACAATTCAGTGTAACAATAACATTTTTCTAATTAATATTAATAAGGTCGAAAAAGCTCAACAAACTACAATAGTAAATTTTTATTATATATGTATTATTCTTACTCTTAATTGCGGCGACAGGTTTCTGAGGATTCGCCAACAAGAAAGTTTTATGTATACAGAACATAAATTAATTAAGCAAAGTTAAAAATAGAATTACTAGAATACAGTGAAGCGTGTGTGTGGTGTGATGTTAAAGAGAAACAAAAGAGAGAGAAAGAGAATAAGGATTGATTGAGTTATCCACGCGCGTATCTCATCGTATCAAAATGCAATAATTACTCCAAAAGTGGAAACTCTCATCGGACGGTATAGATCACTCTATCTGCTTCTTAGGAGACATAACGGGGTTCCGCTGTTGGATTCCTATTTGACAGACTCAAAACATTCATCATTTCATTTTTCCTACATATGATTACTAGTATCTATAACCCCGTTAATAGTGTGTAAAGTATATGGAAATTTTTATTGATTTATTTTAAATAGTATACATCAATTATTTATAATTAAAAATCAAAATTTTATGTATAGTAAATATATTCCATACTTCACATGATTTTATCCTATTAAATTTTTTTTTGTTTATTTTTGAAAAGAAGGCAAAACACTATTCATAACAATGTTTTTGATAAAGAAATTTTAAATTTTTCGTGATCGTAATCTCTTTAGTGGACATGAGACCTAGTTTAAGGCGGGAATATTTGAGTATAAAATAAAAATGAGGTAAAGACTAATACTTAGAAATTTACTCTTGCATAAGTGAGACGACTCATTCGAGTCGGAGCAGAAAACATGATGAGACTTAGGAGTAAGGGGATTTATTAGTATGAAGCGCCTTAAGAAATTGCCCCAGCCATTGGTGAAAGGGATGAACCAAACATAATCGGTGTGAAATACGATAAGCCCTTGGTCATGAATGTCATTCTGGAAGGTGCGCACGAGGTAGAACAAATCGAAGAATAGCCTGAGAGAAGGCTTCCAAGACTTCTGCTCAGCCCAAAACTAGCACGCCTTCATGTAGGCCCAAGACCCCTGGTGAATTTGAGAAGGGGAAACTTCTATATGTTTCAGGGCGACCACCTCAGATTCAGACAAAGGCAACCATAGTCATATTTTGGTGAGCAAACACTAATAAAAGTGAACCGATCATCCATCAAGTATGACTGCAACATACTTGATAAATATGTATCCCATGACATCCTTGGGGATGAAGATACCTGAAGAAGTCTGGTCGGGACATCCACCTAGTCTCGACAGACTTAAAGTATTTGGTTGTTTAGCCTATACTCATATTAGGTAAGACAAGGTCGAACCTAGAGCTCTGAGATGCATGTTCCTTGAATATCCTGAAGGAGTCAAAACTATAGGCAGTGGTGCCTAGAGCCAGGTCACAGGAGGTGTATCACAAATCAAGATATAGTTTAAAATGAAAGTGAGATGACTTTCAAGAAAACAGATGACATTGGTCAAAGTTCGAAGATCTTTGAAGAAAAGCTGGAACATGAAGAGATTTTTGTTGAGGTGTAGCATAGTGATGCTGAATTGCATATCCCAGACGAATTCAAAGAAGAATCTCAAGTTGCTGATGAAGATATGGAGACTGATAATCACTACCTGCTGGTAAGAGACAGGCCGAGAAGAGTCATCTAACCACCTCAGAGACTATAAGGAAGTAAGGTTCTGGACGAAGAACCTAGAGACTATAAGGAAGTTACGAGGAGTCGAGACAAGACTGAATGGATGAAAGCCATGGATGATGAAAACTAGTTTGTTTAGTTGTTAGTGTAGTGTTTGTTCCAAGATGGAGATTTGTGGTATTTTGGATCAAACTCTAGTGTCGATAAAGGTAGTTTCATGGTTCGACAAAAGTTGTGTATGTTATAGTCGAAGTCCGTTCGAGCATAATGTCGAAATATATTAACTTGTAATTTAAGTTAGTATGTCGAATTGGGTCTTGCTTCTAAGCCCAATTGTTAATATAACTTGTATCCTAAGTTAGCTTAGTATTCTATAAATAGAATAGTTCTCTCAGGTTGTTGAGAGGGGTTAATTATTGGTATTCATTTGTAATCTTTAAACCTTTATTGAGTTATTGAATAGTAAAACAATTTTAACCAATTCTTATTATTCTTCTCCATCTTTTGTAAAACCTAATAGGGTTTTTTGTGTTTGTTCAAGAAACTTAATCTTTTTCTCATATTTTGGTTTGTTCTTGATGACATCAATTCACAAACGTTGAATCCTCAATTAATTTCGAGATGCTTTCACTACCTTGAAATTAATTGTTTGAAAAATGGTGTCGGATACCAGTTCCATTCTTTCGATACGTAACCGGTATCTCCAGCTTCTACTTTCTTAGTAAGATATTACTTTTCAAAACTAATATTTCAAAACGAAAATTTTAAGTATTTTCTCGATAAATTTTGACCTGCTTTCGCAAGCTGTTAGAACTGATTGTTCGAATTTCTACGCCTGATACCTCCCCCGTAGGTGTATAAATGATATCTCTGTATTTTTACTTTTGTAGCAAATATTTTCTATTGTTTACACAAAAATTGCAAAACAGATATTTTTGTCATTATAATTAATCTAATTGAGTATTTTTTATGAATTTTACCGGCAGACGGTCCTCAAGTTTTAGACCTTATATAAGTCTACTCAGACATTGTAAAATAAATAACTAAAAAGCTTGCAATTAAATAAGACATAATTGAAGAAGCAGCAAAAGTAAAAGAACCTGAAAAGTGAATAAAGATTGAAACTTGCATAAATAAATTGCTTCGAAGAGAAACTTTTATCGGATACAATAACAAATAGGATATAACAGTACAGGAAATAAAATTCAGCAACAAAAACTCTAAAAGATACAGAAAAATAAATTGCATAAACACTTCAATGTGAAGTATTTATGCTTTACAAGAGTAAATTTATGGCCAAATATAAGCTTGGATTAAAATTTTAAGTTTAAAGGACCTATTTATAGGCTAAAGTTCGTATTGGAACTTCTGTAATCGTGCAAAGTAAGTGGGAGAAAGTGAGGGAAGTGGTGAAACTACATTGCTGATACTGGTGCAAGAAAATTGGGCATTAAAGTTATAACAGGCGTCAGCTAGGCTGGCGCCATGCCCGTCCTGACTCCTTTAAGAGGATGCTGGATCATGGGCCATGAGGGGTGTCAGCTAGGATGACAACCTTCTTGTCATGGCGTGTTGACCTGTGCTCCATGTTTCTTTGACTTTTAATGTTGATGGTTTGGCCCTTTGTTGTGTGACACCCGTCATGATTGGGCTGTGCCTGCTGTTAAGTGCAAATTTAGACTTAAATTGAACCATCTTTCTTTGCATTTTTTGACTTATTCCTCATGTTTTTAGAGATTTGTTTATTGTTCTTGTTTGATTCTTCAGTATATGCAAATACCTTTAGATTCTTTAATGTGTGTGTTATTGTTCAAGAAAATAGGCATAAAATATCAATGATTAAGACACAAAGGAGTGGACAAGGAAGCCAAAGAAACGAAGAGGAATCAGCATGTTCGCTGGGCGAACAACAACGAGCAACCAGCGAATGTTCGTTGGGCGAAGTCCCGGCGAAGCCCCAGCGAACCATCTTGAAGGTGAGAAAATACTTAGAAGGGGGGGTTGAATAAGTATGACAGAAAATAATCAAAGATAAAAACTCAAGTATTTTTATCCTGGTTCGTTGAACTCAACTACTCCAGTCCACCCTTTTCAAGAGTGATTTGCCTTTCTCAACAAGGACTTAATCCACTATTCAAATCAACTGATTACAAATAGCAACACCTAAGAACAACTGTTCTTAGTCTTCTCAAGAGCTACTGATCTAACCTAGATCCTCTTAAGGAAAACAACACCTAAGAACAACTGTTCTTAGTCTTCTCAAGAGCTACTGATCTAACCTAGATCCTCTTAAGGAAAACTTCCTTTACAAATTAATGTAATACAATGTAAGAGTAATAAATTGCTTCTATGAAAGCTATAAACACAACTGTGTTATTTCTCTAAGTTTAGAACAATGTATGAACAGCAAAGAATATGAGAGCTTGAGAGTTTCTTCGCTTGAGAGTTTTCTTGCAAATAATTTCGTCACTTGAAGAATGAGCTATCATTTCC